AGTTAAACTCCATTTAAAATGTTAATGGTATATAAATGGTCTTCGCAAGCAAATATATATGGATGAACAACCACCAGACCATTTTTATCCAGAACAACATCAACACAGAATTAATCTAACAGTCAAAATCTCTGCATCTGCAACATACACATTGTATGTATATATAGAACATATCAATATATATGTTTTATTAAGTTACTAATGTTGTAAATAAAGGTATTTTATTATCCCCCATTGTACTTACAATATATATATGATATTGATTGAGTGACAGTACCTGACAAAGCGAACCAATTACATGTATTTGTGACGTCAATATACATGTAGTCAACTACTAATTAGTCATACATGCATATGGTGTACCGGTATATTTCAAAAATATGAGACCGGGTTAAATACAAGATTTTGTTTGTTTATGTTTAACGGCCCATCGACGACTGTGGTCATTTAGGGCCATGGTGATTTATTGTTTTTAAACATGCGAGTAGCGAAGATTAAATCAGATAAAAAGGTTCATTTTAAAAGTATTCGCATTGTATGTGTAATTAATTAAAATAAAAAGGGAGTTAAAATAATAAAAGAGATAACGAATATAATTATGATATGAACTATGTGATATATATAATATAGAATAGACCGATGTCTTTCAAATACTTAAATAATGTATTCTAGCCCACGGAACTGAAAAGAGTTTTCATATCCTTGACTCGAAAGTAGTTATCGTGAAGGTGTTTAAAATCGGAACATTCTATAAAAAACTGTTCCACTGTAAATGGAGTGACACATGCGTGGCATGAAGGTTGATCTCCTTGTTTTAAAAGGTACGAATGATTGACGTAATGTGTGCGCAGTACGGAGCCGAGCGAGGACAACTTCCTTTCTACGAAATGTCCTTTCGGGAATGCATTTCGAATAACCCTTCTCATACACAACTTTACACCGGTTCCAAAGAAGGCGAGAAAGTGGCAGCCGCCTGCTGCACTGCTAATTCTTGCACTTCAGTTCGACTACCAGACGACGCCTCCATCTTTTCTTCCGAGGCATGCGCCATTGGTTTGGCCCTCGACCATATCGATGAACACCGCATTAAAAAGGCAATCATTTGTTCAGACTCTCCGTCTCTCCTACAGAGTTTACAGTTACGAGATTTTAAAAACACGTACAAAACCTTGCTCTTCGATTATCTCGTATCTTAAAAAAGTCTAAAATAACTTTACTATGGATTCCGAGCCATGTCGGAATTAAAGGCAACGAATTTGTTGACAAGGAAGCAAAGAATGCATTGAATCTCCAACAAACAAGTAACAAACTACCATACACAGAATTTAAACCTACTATTCGTACAGCCATTCAAAATGAATGGCGGCAACGCTGGTCTCTCGAGACCACCAACAAACTTTTTAAGATACAACCGAAACTTAAAACATCTATTCCCAGTCGGAAAGATCATAGAGAGGAAGTTGTCCTCGCTTGGCTCCGCACTGGGCACACATATCCTATTCATTCGTACCTTTTAAAACGAGAAGATATACCTTCATGCCACGCATGTGACACTCCATTATAACCAGGATGCCCAACAAACAGAAAGCTCCACTGAAAACGCCAACGAAAACCAAAACTACGCCACGCAAAATCATGACCCCTTGCAAACCGAAAACCCCACTCAAGGTCAAAACACCATACAAGAGGCCAAGAGGGCCTGTATCGCATTTTAACATCTTGAACGGTTCTGAACATATTGTTGTTTGAAACTTGAAATTTAAATGTTAAAACTTTTAACTCATATTGACTTTCACTTAAAGTTGACCTTTGACCTCATTGCTGTATTAAAGAAAACAATTCACACAGCTGGTCTACATAACATACCCAAGTATCATGACTCTAGTCCAAATGGTTCTTAGGATATTGTTGTTTGAAATCTTTCACATATTTGACCGCTGTGACCTTGAAAGAAGGTCAAGGTCATTTTCATGAGGAAACTTTGTAGCACTCCATCCCAGGTACATACTGGCCAAATATCATGATCCTGGGCCTTATGGAACTTGAGAAGATTGTTAAAGATTTTAACCAAAGTTGATATTTGAACCCACCACTAGCATTTAAAGTTGACCTTTGACCTCATAACTTTCATTAAGAAAAATATTCGCACTGCTGGTCTACACAACATACACGAGTATCAGGATTCTAGTTCAAATGGTTCTTAGAATATGGTTGTTTGAATTTTTTAACATATTTGACCGCTGTGACCTTGAAAGTAGGTCAAGGTCATTTTAATGAGGAAACTTTATAGCACTCCATCCCGGTCATTTAATGGAGCATACAAAGTCATTTCAAGAGTGATAATGAACAGTGCCTCACTCATTGGCCCATTGAATGACGTGGTAGCTGGTCGTGACTCGAATTACATTATTGTCTGGTCTGAGCGTTTTGAAAAATTTCTGATGCTTGTACATCAAGATTGAAACAATGTTGAAGACATTTGAAAACTTGGACTGAAATCTATGTACCGGGTAAAATAATCACTGTTGTTGCTATTCGATAATATACCCCTTCCTTCAAAACAACACAATATAACTTTTTTTTACCACATTCACCTGCCCTGGGGGTCTTGGCACTTCACTGTAACATTATACACTTTTTGAAATAATAACTATACATGTGCCCCGTTATGCCATGCTTTTAATGTTTGCATGCAGAAAACAATTATTCAATGTCAAAATGTCCTATGATTACATTTGTACTTGGCATTGTTAGGTGGTAATGGAGTGATTTTGTTGTGGATTTTTTTTTGTGGTGTAACCTACCATGACACATTCTATGTCCGTCCACAAACATAGTTTTTAAAAACTGTGCAATTATGCAGAACTTTAGAATTAACAAATAATTTCTTGCCAAACTGTATCTTTCGAAGTCAGTATGGGGGGTATGATACATGACACACTTTGATCTTCATGACAAAATAATAAAGATGAAATTGACAAAACAAAACTACAAGCTTTTCTCAATATAAAAATACAATGAGGTCAGAATAGGATTTGAACCCTGGACTTTGGATCATTATATACTTTTGGTTCTAAATAACCTACCAGGATAGTAGTATATGCGAGGAAAAGTTGATGAACATGACTTACAACTGGAAAATGAGTATCTTCATGATCTAATTGATAATTTACAAAGATATATCTTGTGTTCCAGTTCAGTCTTGACGCCATATCGGGACACAGTGCATTTGACACCAACAGAAAAAAAAATAGAATGCCAAACATTCAGTCGCCAGGAATTTGATAGAATGCAGTTTTGGTCTTTTGAAATGCAAATGGAGGAAACTTCAGTACATGGATGTGTTGAACATTAAAGATATTTGCAGTTTTGTCTTTGCTACATGTATACTACATAATTGTGTGCTTGCATCAGATTGCTATCAAATGGAAGCCGAGGAAAATGAACTTCATGAAACAGAGAATGAAATTCAGGCTTTTGCAGAAAGAGGTGTCAATGCTGTGGCTGCAAGGCAGAAGAGAAGCAACATTGCAGCACTATTGTAGACTTCAACTATGTTGCAGCACTATTGTAGACCTCAAAATGAGGTTGAATATTGGGACATTCTCCCACACACTCGTCCATCTCTTTTTCGTATAGAAAGTCTTTCCTGGCACCTCCTGATTTGTTATTTATGTCCTTGGTTTCCTTGATTTTTTTCTAATTTCATGAACTTTCCCTTTGCCTGTTCTTGTGCGATAGTTGTTGACGTTTCTTTTTCGAATTCTTTGGATATTTCCATCCAAATGGATTTTTTGGTTTGTTTGCCGCTGTTGAATGACTGATTTTTGTCACTTCTCAAGGCAATTAGTGTTCTGATTGATGCACTGTTCCGTATGAACTTTTCTGTTCAAAAGTTTTCAATACAATTTAAAATATATATAAACATGTCATATTTTACTAGTAAATCCTAAACAAATAGTACTCTCTGCCTTAAGACCATAATTATGTATTTTATTGCTATGATATCGCTATGGCGGATACGTATATTGCAGACGTCGCTATAGCCAACTATCATGCGACTTCATTGTTTATGACGTCACAGCATCTTCTTCAAATAAACAGTCTGAAGAATCCCCAAGAAGAGATGAAAGCACTTCAGACTCGTTGAGAATTTTTCTTTTAACATTATTTATATATATATATAGGACAGGGGCCAGTAACTAGAATATTGCTCTTAAGATGGAAAATAAGGGAACGATAAGGTGACGCTGTTTTTAAGAGTGTAATCGAAAACCCCTCTTATCACGCCTTTAACACATACTTAAGTGTACTCTTTGCTAAGGTAATACTTTCATAAGGGCGAAATAAATCCGGAATCAGTACGTCGTTTCTTTGACTATTTTTTTTCAAAATCATGGACACCCTTTAATAGCATGTAGAACGCATTGTAAAGCTTCCATGCGACTCTAACTCTACTTTCGTTTTAACGTCATCACAACAACAGTACGACATGGCTTCAAACAATATTACGCGGGTAAGAAAGCCCAATTTGACATAGTCAGAATTGGAGATACTTGTTGACGAAGTAAGTAAAAATAGGCATATTCTCATGGGGAAATTTAGCGATACTATAACAAATGATAAGAAAAAGTAAATATGGGGACATATAACTAAAGATCAATTCGTCGTCACAGTCGTCGCGAGAATTGGACGATGTCAAGAAAGGGTAGCACAGCAAGTTCTGTGACAATTATGACTTATAATATCATCCCTTAACCCTCAAGTTAATACTTACTTAATTGATGTATGACTGCCAGATGTTTCAATACTTTCTGCTTTGTTTAAAGATTGCGATGACAAATATTACATTGAAACAGTCTTCTTGGGACTGAGATTTATCTGCACCTGGCTCGTGGACTTCTGCATTTTTAATACTTGATCATCAACTCGGCATCTATGCTTTTGTTACTTTTTCATTGAATTTGCACATTTTTTTTTTCTTTCATCCGTACTTTCAGGGTGGAAAAAGAACCTGCGGATACTTTTGTGAGTGACAGTTCTGTGATGACACTAATTAGACTGGAACGGTAAGTAAGCTTGTCACTGTCATGATTTTGAGTTCTAGTGTACAACTGGACAAAAGTATGGTTTAATAATGGTGCGATAATGGTACAGCGACATGAGTTGTGTCATACGCGAGGCGAGCCCTGACATCTGTAGAATCGCGATACAGCCAGACAGAACGTGAAGCATTAGCTGTTGTCTGGGCATGCGAACACTTTGATATGTACTTCAGAGGTTTGTCACACTTCACAGTGATCACGGATCATAAACCCCTAGAACGTATATGGGAGAAAACCAAACCACCGTTGCGGATAGGGACTTCGGTTAAAACCGTACAAATACACGATCAAATATATTCCAGGAGACAAGAACATTGCAGACTACATGTCTCGACACCCCATAACCTCCAAGGCCAGTGAATCGCGAGAGCAGGAGATTGCGGAGAGCCATGAAAACTTTATAGCGTCGCATTAGACGATGTGAAAAGAGGCACATCTCAAGACAAAACCCTTTGTACAGCGATCGAGCTTGTGAGGAGTGGGAAATGGTATATGTTAAAAACCATGGAGAATCACGACGACATCGTCGACATGGAAGAATTGACCGCTCTGAGGAGTGTCAAAGATGTACTTACTGTACATTCCGAGAATGTACTGCTGCGAGATAGTAGGATCGTACTCCCAGCAAATCTCAGAAACCGAGCCGTGTGTTTGGCCCACGAAAGGTCATCAAGGTATTACGCGAACCAAGTCATTCATAAGGTCGAAAGTCTGGTTCCCTGGGATAGACAATCGCCTCGAGAAAGTTATACAGGATTGTATACCGTGTCAGTCCATGACTCCGGAACCGAGAAGTAGGGTACCGCTCAATATGTCCGAGCTGCCCACTGGGCCGTGGGAAAGTCTAAGCATAGACTTTTGTGGCCCATTACCCTCCGGAGACTACATGTTTGTAGTTATAGACGAGTATTCGAGATACCCTGTTGTAGAGATCGTGAAGTGTGTATCCGCGAATGCCAGTATACCGGTTCTAGACAGAATCCTTAACACTTTAGGAACACCTACAATAATCAAAAGCGATAACGGCAGTCCGTTTAATTCATACGCATTTGCCAACTACGCCCAGAACATGGGTTTCGAACACCGACGAGTCACACCGCGATGGCCCAGAGCAAACGCGCAGGCAGAGAGCTTTAATAAGCCGCTCAGGAAAGTTATACGTGCAGCACATGTCGAGGGAAAAAACTGGAAGCAGGAGATGTTTCAATTTCTACGACAATACAGAGCAACCCCCCACACATCAACAGGATTTACTCCGTATCGTGTGATATTTGGTCGCGAACCGAACACCAAGCTACCGGTGATCAAGAACACAGGGACGGTTGAGGTGAGGAGAATTGACACAATGCGAAGTTCCGTATGAAATCTTACGCCGACAGTAAGAATCGTGCTCGCGAGAAAACGTTAGTCAAGGGAGACACTGTGATGTTAAAAAGAGACTTCAAGGGAGACTTCAAGGGAAACAAATTGTCAACAATATACGACCCTAGACTTCGTACAGTGACCAACACAAAAGGACCGATGGTCACAGTCACAGGAAATGTGACAAGGAACATATCAAGGTTTAAAAAGATTGACTCTCAGCATCCTAGTGCGTCCTTTGACGATGAAGTGGAGGAACTGGAGGAGACACCTTGGATAGTAGATACGCCACAAACCACAAGTCCCGTTAAGCCGAATACTCCAACAAAACCGAGTCATGAGGCGATCGCGAACAAACCGACTACTCCGTTGCCATTACCCAGTGTGTCGAAAACCAGAGAACGTAGGGTAACCAGGCAACCGTTGCGATTCCGAGACTATGAGTGTTAGTGTTACTTACTTTGGGGCACAATATTCCCCACAGATACATTTATAATATTTTGTAACAGACCTAGCTGTGTTTGGGGCATAATAATCCCCACAGGTCTCTAATGGATCAAAAAGATTCGTTTAGTTGAGTTATTAGTTTAATTTTTATGTTTAAAATGACATTGTGTACGGTTTCGCATAATCATTATATCGCGACAAGTTTTCGTGACAGCGTTTATTATATCGAACAATGTAGTTTGTATTTAAACGACAAAATACTCTATATTGACGATTACGAACAATTAACATAAAAAATATTGTGCAAACGATTGGAACTAAGAGACAGACTTTTCAAGTGAAACAGAACAGTGACAATATTGGTTGTGATCAAAGTATTTTATTATTGGACAATTCAGAAAACAAACTTTGACAAAGTTAACAATTTATAAAGATAATTATAACAGTAAGAATATTAAAAGAAACTGATATAATTTTTGAAAGTAACAATTATATTATATAATGTTATATATTTCTATTCCATAGAAAAGGAGGGATGTAATATCCAGTCCGCTACTTTGTACCATTCCGTAATATTACCCACTTGATTGCTATTCTGTAATATAGACCAACCAGAAGTATTATTAAAACCATGCACATGGAACAAGATGGTGTTTGTTGAGTCTGAATGTTAAGCCGTAGTTAATGATGGCATTAGGCATGCCATCAACACATAAACACTACAACATCCTTAGGCCAAGGCGACTCAATCTTGTGCAATGCGCAGGTTTTAGCAGAAATCTAAGTTTGCCAATTCACGGCTAGCCTCTGATGCTTTTGCGATGTGACTTCTGTTTCATTGGGCCAAGTATGGTTATATTTGGTATCTGCACAGTCCTGTTAAAGGAATATTCTGGGAACGTTCCTGAATATTGCTGGTTACCCTTACCTACACTTTTTCCGCAAATGCAGAGTATTCGGAATTCCACAAATACGTAAAAAATGGAAAACTGAAATTTACGCACTTGCGTAGAAAATGCGTAAAAAAACCCACAAAATTTCCACATTGTAAATTCCACACTTTTTCCGCAAATGCAGAGTATTCGGAATTCCACAAATACGTAAAAAATGGAAAACTGAAATTTACGCACTTGCGTAGAAAATGTGTAAAAAAACCCACAAAATTTCCACATTGTAAATTCCACACTTTTTCCGCAAATGCAGAGTATTCGGAATTCCACAAATACGTAAAAAATGGAAAACTGAAATTTACGCACTTGCGTAGAAAATGTGTAAAAAAA